TTTAAATCAGCAAAATGAAAAAAAAAGTTCAACAGAAAACAGGAAAGAAAGCAAAAGAGCAAAGAAAACTTACACACAATAGGTGACAGAAATCATTCTAAAATAATGAGCATACTAAGTGAAAATGGATTAAAAGTTCCCCACTAAAAGTGTCAAGATTCAATCATTAACTCCTAACTGTATGCCTGGCGAAAATCACTCACTCACTCACATCGGGACAGGGGACACATTAAAGAACATTCAATGCAGCACTGTTTTTTGTTTTGGGGGGAGGTTTCTGATCAGAGAGAAAAAAAGTACTTTTTAATTCCTTCTTAACTGCAAAAGCCCTTTACCTCAAATGTCAACACATACATTTATTTCTAGCTAGTAAAGCACAGGAGAACCGCAGCCTAGGAGGATAAATAGAAAATAACAAAACTCTACTTATGTACTATATCAAAAAACTACAAAATGCAAAATAAGAATGAAGTTTCTGTGAAGGAGAAATATAGTGTTGGGAGATAATTCTTCAAGGATCTCAACTCAACATTGTTAAACTGGAAACAACCAACATGTCCGCCCAAAGAAAAATGGATCAAATGACTTAATAAATTCTAACAGTTAAGTAATAAAGAGGATTAAAACTAATGAATGAAATCCCTAAGAGTCAACATATCTTCTCAAAACATAATGCTGACTGAAAAAAGCTACTTGAAAAAGAGTATATATAAAAGCCATACACCACTAATGTAAGTTTAAAAAAATAACTGTCTCCAAATATCCTATAAGTTGTCACATATATACATACATATGTGGAAAATGTACAGAAACGTAACCAGGAAAGAAACATGCACTTCGGAAGAAAGTTACATCTGTAAGGGGCTACACTTCTGATACCTTTTTGTTATGTTTTCTTTTTAAACAAAAAACTCAAACCCATAATGTCAATATTTGTTAGGTACCTAGATAAATATTTCTGTGATTTTATTTTCCATATTTTGAAGTAGTTTCAAACTTACAATTCTAAGTAAAGATTGAAAAAGGAAAGAAAAAAAATAAGTTGTGAATCTATGCTAATTCAGATCACCGATCCAGATAGCGACCAATCATTTTCTAAAATTACATTTTAAATGTTCTGAATCGTTGATTCATGTCATTGAATTTTCTCATACTACTTCACCAACACACAGTTCTCACTGCAAGGGAATAAACACTCAAAAAACAATCGTGTTTTTAGTCTGTGATTTATCTGTTATAGTATTAATAAAGCATGGTTCCAACATTTGCTTTTTTCTGTCTCAATGCTGGAGCCAGGCTAACAACAGGACACAAAAGATGCGGAAGAACACTGTAACCACAGCAGTGAGGTGCATGTGAAGGACACAGGCTGGAGGGCACATCCCCAGGACATCGTGATGGGGGAGAAGGCGTCGTGCTCCTTGGGACCACAGAGGAGGCAGGAGAGTCTGGGATCACTGCTTCAGAGCCAAGCCCTCAAGAGGACACAGAGGAACTGACCTTGAGACAGGTCCTCAGAAATGAGACGGGGACTGTCAAACTGAGGCGGGCTTGGGTCTGAAGAAACTGGGAGTTTCTAGGGAGCAGAGACCCAAAGAAAGGAAGAACCTGGTCTTGGGGGTTTGAGTGGACAGGATACAGGAAGGCAGCCAGCAGTTCTCTTCATTCAAGTTCAAGGTCTATGCGCTGACTCTGCTTCCCACTGCTAGTGCCGAGTCCCACAATTCCTGCACGGGACGGTCCCCTCTGGACTGTGACAAACCAAGCAATTAGATCCTTCCGGCTTTGGTGACAAGAGCCCAGAGCCCAGGAGAGCACGGCAGACACACCAGAAAAGTCCCAGGTCAGGGCAGATCAGCCACCTGAAGGTTTGATATGTTAACTAAGGAGTTATTCTGCTGGCTGAGAACAACAGGGGAAACCCGGGTCCAGTGCAGCCCTGAATAACGAGGGAAAAGTCACAGTCTGGCATTGGTGGGTGGGGATTCTCTGATCTTGTGGATGAGGGAGGGGAAAGACATATGGATGATATGAAAACACAGTGGGGCTTCCATTCAGATGAAACATGCCCTGCCCCTCGGGGGTAGGGTGGGTAGAAAGGCTTACAAGATCTTTATGTCTGCTGTGAGCACACAGTTTTACAAAACTGAGTAAGTAATGCAAAATTAGTTGTTTCTCTTTTGTAACTCGACACTTTATTTTCAAGCCTTTACCACTGACTGTGATCTCAGACACTACCTAATCCCAATCTAAAACATACCGTTGTTCAAACATACAATACTTCTAATTCAGAGATCTGTGACCTTTTTCCCGGAAATGAACATCAAGTTCATGAGGTAATTAGAAGTAAAGCCATAGGTATACCTATGGTTGATTAATGTTGATGCTTGGCAGAAACAAACACAATTATCCTTCATTTAAAAATAAATAAAGTTAATTATTTAAAAAAAGGTAAGCCATGTCTCTCCTTTTGATTTGCTTTCTACCAAATGCATAAACTATACCTTAAACTGCATTTCACAGTTTTAAGATAGTCATTTGGTTATTTTCCTGCTTCGGGCCATTTTAAAGCTTCAGGGACTCCCCTTTCATTTTCTTTTTATCTCCCTCTTTCAAATAAGATTTCTCTTGTCTACTTGCAACAGTTAACTTTATTTATATTAACCCAGAACTTTGCCAAGCAGGTATGAATTCATACCACAGGATTAAACAAACAAAAATATCAAAGGTTACATATTTATTTTTAAAATTCTTTACAGACCCAAATACACAGATAAGCAGGAGAGTAAATAAAGACTAATGGTCATGACCACACCAATGGTGTGACCACAGGCAATGGCTCCAACTCTTGGCACATTTCCCTGAAGTGAGGGGCCAGCTGGGATCCCTTTTATTTGTTTGGTTATAAAACTCCATAATTGTCCTATGTTTTAGTATTCACTGGACTAAGTGCTAAGAAAAGAAAAAAGGGAAAAACCAGTAGCTACGATCAAATTTAGAAGTTGACAAAAGATATGTTATCAGGATATTCCTGAAGGGTTTATGTAAGTACAGGAAAAAAACAAGTCAGACAAAATCCAAAAAGTAAATATCATCTAATGTGGATACTAGGGTTAATTTTCAACTCGAGAATATCTGCTCTGGCTCTATTTTTATAAACTTGATTTAAGGATTATTGTCCCCTTATTCATTACCTCTCTATGTATTCTAAGTTGTGAGCTAAACGTATTTAACCTCCTTTGTATATTTCCTACATCTCCATATTCAGGGCTTAGATACTGCTCAATGTTTTCTAATGTTCCCACCAAGCTGTCTCGGAGGAAAAACTGGTCCTTCCTATTACAACACTCTTATTAACAGATCCCCCAAATTCAGTCACATGCACTTGGCATGTGACCCAGCACTTTCCTCCCTCTTTACCAGCCAATTAGCTGTTTGAGAGGTTAAATTATGAAGTTGTGATTATATCTCTAGGGTTTGAGGAATATATAAGGCAGATAACTTAAGTTCTATAAGATTTAGCAGTCTTAAATACTTTTTCTCTAGAATATTGCTATGTGTAATAATTAACTCTATAAGAGCCTTCATAAGGAAATGGCTCTCTTATCTATCAAGTGTGGGAAAGTATGCAGTTCACTCTGAGACACCTGACTGCTCACTGCGGCTTTGCTCCTGGAACACAGAGATGAGCACAGGGCTGGGCCCAGGCCTGTCACTGCCCCTGCCTCCAGGCCCGCAATCTCCATCTCGGAGGCTAATTAAACTGCTTTCGCTCTAGAACAGGACAGAAAAGAAGCAAAAAAAGGGAGTTGTAAGCATTTCACAGACTGTTGGCATAAAAGCAATGAGAATAGCATCTACAAACTCTTAATCATAAAACCTTTACCTTGCCTTATGAAATTCACATGGCGGAACCTGACCCAGGCCTCCCTCTGTGGCAGCGTCTCTGACCATCAGACACTTTGCTTCCCACCAGCTCCTGCATCACAGACCCCCGCCCATCCCCACACAGTCAGGCAGATCCCCCCATCACAGCTTGAGGCAAGTGGGGAAATCACTGTAAGATTCATATTAATTTCTCTCCTTTTCCTCTCCTTTCCTCTCCTTGGAGAATTAAAGTCACAATGAAAGGTTAAAAATCTAAACAGGAGTACTTGAAAGTGTTTGTTTTATGTATGGCATCATTCTCCGACCCAGAGATTTAGGAGTCGTTTTGTGCTGTAAACCTGAACAGTGCAGTTCTGCTCCTAAAATGCATATATATCGTGCTTATCCTAGAGAGAGCTTTCCTCTCCTACTTTAAAGCCTGACTGTGCAGTCAAAACAGCAGGCTTAAGTGCTGATTCTAATGCTAATCTTTCACTCTTACTTAAGCCTTTGAGATCATCAAATTTGGTTTTCAACATCTTTGTTTTATAGAAGAAACAATCTGGCCTGAACTTACACAGACCATTCAAACACTAAACACCAATCTCACTATCTACTCTTCTCAGCTCTTTATAAAAATACCTTGTCCAATCTCCAAGCTGTTGACAGTGATCAGATCAAGATGGAGAGAGGCGGGCTGACCACAATTACACCAGACTCAGACTCTGCCCACTTCCTCCCCCCATTGCCTCCCAATAAGAATCAGGCATTTACTAAACGCTTCATAATAAAATGCTCACAGATCTGTTTTTGTGCGTTCTCTTCAATTTCTACTCTGTATTTTGCTTGCATGAGAGCGTTTCTGAAAATGTTTAATTCTGAGTATAACACAAAACATACATAACAAAAGAATCAGTAGCAAAGGCTTCTGTTTTAGATATTTCAGAAGGCACATCTATACAAATAACTCTAGTGTTTTGAAAAACTGATTTTAAGAACATCCTCAAAACGCATTCCTGTACCTGTCCTCCCCTCCCCTACCCCACCACTGGCCTTCTCCAGTTAGGACTGAGATTCAGGCAATGACACAACTACCCTGAAGCAAGAGGAAGCCGTGCTGGCCTCTGCCTTACCTCACAGAACATATAGAGAGACAGCAGAGTGAGTCCGAGGTTGTACACCACTAAAATCCCCCGGCAGGAGAACGGTTGCCTCGTCTTCATATATTTTGGTCCCAGCCACACGATTAGCAAGTACAGAATGGAGCAGACCAAGGTGGGGACATAATTGTCCAGAAGAAACCATCCTTTTACTCGAGTATCTGGAAAGTTGTAAGAGAAAAAACATTCAGTGATAATAAGGTAGATATAAAAATAATAAACATGCTTTGAACATGAAAAAATTTTCTCTAATCGCAATGTTCCCAAGCCAAAAACGCAACTCGAAGAGGAACTGACTCTTCAGTATGTAAGCTCAAGGTGAGGCTCTCATTCATGTTCTAAATAATAATGTGCATATTATCAGGGGCTTTGCTAAATGACTCTTATAAAATCTGTTCTTAAGAATCTTAAAGAAAACAAGGAGAAACTCAATTTTTCACTAACTGGATTGATTAAACAGGCTTGCTCAATTACGCATGGGTCAAGGAAACCCTAGAAATGGCAATCTTTGAGGTCCGAAGCTCTCCATGTCAGCCCACTGTCAGCCAGTCTGCCTGGCATGTGCGGACTCAGAAAACGTGCCGCTCGGCCAGCTCAGAGATCGTCCCTGATTCAACAGGCCTCGTTTGCGGAGTGCCATGATCAACAGCAGCAGGGGCGATAACTTTTTAGAAAGTGAGTGAAGCAGCAACGACCAGATAAGAGAAGAGCAGAAGTGTGAGAGACAAGACCTACATTATTGACTCAAGGACATTACTGATGCAGAGGGACCTCCTACCTCCCTTTCTTTCCCCTCCCCTCGGCAGGAAGGAGGAGGAAAAGGACAGTGGACCAGCCCCTTCTTTGACCTCCTGGCTCCGTCATCTTGCTGCTCTCTCTCCAGGGCTCTTTCCCTTGACCTTGCAGGACAAGCACAGCCTAAGTAGAACATATGTCCACTTGGGGAACCACTGTCAGTCTCCTTTCTTGCAGACACCCTAAGTTCTCCCAGTGTCTCTTTTTCTTGGCTTCAGAGGGAGACTCCCTCCACCCTCTCTCTCTCCACTGATGCTAGGGTGATGATGATGGTGGTTTCACTGATAAGTGCTTCTCAGAAGCCCTGTAGGGAAGTGGCTGCCCCAGCAAACTCATCAGTAACAAGAGGATTCTTAACACCTTTTGTTCTCAGCTCTGGGCCTTAAGCTGTCAATTCTGAGAACACAAGTTCCTACCTAGCAATTAACATCAGACCCTTGTGTATGTTTATGTGTACATAACACAAACACAATGAATGCACCTATGAAAACCCCTCATTTCCTTTTATTTAAAGCTATTTTGCATCTTGCAAATTTAATTTTAATTAAATTTAATTTTCTAACAGGTCTTCATTTTCCTACTTCACCAAGTATCCAAGAACTTCCTGGGTGGCTGGTCCCAACCCCAGGTGATAAATCCTTAGGGAGCTAGTCAATCATGAAGCCCTAACTCACCCCTGGGGGACTGGTTCAGATAACAGCATGTGGAGCACTGTGGCCACTGAGCTTGAAGTGCTCTGGGGAAGTCTTCTGGTTCTTAAAACCATGCAAAGGATCAGACTTTTTCCTCCTCCTCTGGAGGTGCAGCCTGGAGCTTCAGCAGTCAATCTGCAACCACAAGAGATTGGGGGACCTGACCTGAGCACAGAGCTCCTGACACTCTGAGGAAGTAAGGCAGGAAATGACAAGAACAGGGTCCTTGGGTAACATCATAGAGCCCCTAAAATAACTCAGATCGCATAATGTTGCTATTGCTGTTGTTTGGTCGCCAAGTTGTGTCTGACTCTCTGCGACCCCATGGGCTGCTGTGTGCCGGGCTTCCCTGTCCTTGTAACAGCTCAAACTCATGTCCACTGAGTCCGTGATGTCATCCAACCATCTCATCTTGTCATCCCCTTCTCTTCCTGCCCTTAATCATTCCCAGCATCAGGGTCTTTTCCAATGAGTTGGCTCTTTGTATCAGGTGGTCAAAGTGTTGGAGCTTCGGCTTCAGTCCTTCCAATGTAAGCTAATAATTTTTATTACTGTTTCAGCCATTTAAAATTGGAATTTTGACCCCACAACACTGAAAGAAGGCATCATCCCAACATGAGCACAGACAGATGGATCTGGCTTATTCTTTTCCAGGGGCCACACATTAACTGAGCTTGTTCCCTATGGAACAAGTTTTGACAAGCAATGCCGCTAAGCAGCCTCTTTATACATATCTCTGCTGAGTCAAACGGCATGTGCATTTTAATTTTAACAGAAAACAAAACTGCCCTCCAGAGAGGTTACCCTGTTAAGACTTTCTCCACTTCCTATTATCACAGATGGCAAAAGCCTTATTGCATCTCTGCCTTACTAACAGATGAAGTTCCTTTTATTGTTTTCTTTGTATTTTAAAAACCATGAGTAAAATGGAGACTCTATCTGTTTAAAAGCCTCTGGGAGTTTTTCTATGAATTTTTCTGTGAACCTCCCAAGTTCCCTCTTTCAGGTGAGACTTTAGAGATGACATTAGAAGAAGGTGTAATATTTGGAGCTGACTTACTTGTTCTAAAGGACAATGAAAGATGAGGAGGGTAAGAAGTGAGCTCAGGCACATATACTTATCCAGTGATGTGACACATCACAAAAAGACGTTAGAAAGCCCTTAGAACTGTAAAACAGGAAGGGTTTTAAACCCCTATTGCAGCAGTGCATTTTGAAAATCGGATTCAGCTGGAGACTCACAAGAACTGAGCAACCTGTGCCACCAACAGTGGTGAAATCTGTGGCATGCTCAGGCTGTAAGCTTGCAACATAATCCGACCTCCACTGAAGTCAGCAGAGGGTCCCAGCACCTGTGTCTCTGCCCCAGCTGTCAGAGGACCTTGCACCTGTTCACGACCTCAGGACTCCAAGCCCCTGGTATCTAATCACTGGAAAATGCGCATGGTTTCTAGACTGTCTTCATGCAATATTCACAAGTTGCCTATAACAAGGAATGGGAGGAAGGATGGGAGAGCAAGACTCAAAACCACCTTACCTCGGGGGCCGAGCCATGCCCGGAAATAGGTGCTAAGTGATGCATCGAAGTGCTCCATTTTAAAACCTATTAAGAAAAAGAGACATTGATTAATCTCTACTCAAAATGCTTTCTGTTTTTTTTTTTTTCCATAAAACATGAACAAATCCTTTTCAGAGAAGACACTCTGGACAAGGTTAAGTTCCTCATGTTCAAACAACTTCTTTTTTAAACTCACAAAGTGCTAAGTTCTCATTTGAAAAGCAAAAGGAAAGACACAATCCCATGAATTCACTTTACAAATAAGTGAAGCGCCAGTTTTCTGTGCTTCTTTTCTCAGCTCCATAAAAATTCTCTCTGTGAAGCTGAAATCTCAGACGGGAGAAGGACAGAACCGGATAGAAAGCGGGCAGAAGGGGGAAAGTCCATCAGGGCAAACAAGACTACCATGGAGAGAAAATTGTTCCTCTGCTGGGTGTTTTTATTAATTACTGTCCTAACATACTTCATGTCCACAGCAAAAAATGCAAACATTTAAAATGAAAAGAGGCAGTAAGAAAAATCTCATCATTCTGGTCCAACACAATCCCTTAGACCCACTGTTAGAAGGAGCTTCCTGGTACCATTTCTTAGGTATACTTCTGGAGGTTTCTCTCCTCTATGCACAAAAGATGACACAGGCTGAATCAGAGCTTCTGTAATTGTTGATTGCAACCCATTAAAATTGATACATGATCAAGTCAACTTTGCATTAAAAATAACAAACTATTCATAATAATCAGAGTGCTCTCTCCTTAGGGAGAATGAATAAATACTGCCAGGAATCTTCAGTGTTACTGTACCTTTATTTATGGGTATGATGTAAACTACATTCTTACTGAAATAAGCACAAAAAGAAAAACGTTGGAAAAATGCATACACTGAGTACTGCATGTATTATGACATCTTGGAGATTGTCCCCTTAACAGTGGTTAGAGACCTACCTCCATCTTCAAAGATTTTATAACTCCCTACTTTTCCCCCATATGAGATTTACATTTACAAGTTAGCGAAGCATCTTTTCATCTGTGCCATTTATTTACTATATGTTCTATATGAAAGTCAGGAGGCACATGTTTAACTGTCTTGGTCATTACTATTACAGAAATAACCACAAGTATTTTTCCTTCTAAGGGCAAAGGGAAAATAGGTTTCATCAACTAGCAGTTTAATGCAACATCTCTCCCTTGGTTGGCCATGCTGAAGCCTATGTCTTATCCTTTGTCTAATTTCATGGATTAACTAAAGTAGTTTGGAATTACCTAATGGATTCTAGTAGTTACAACAACTGAGTCAACCCAGCCTGGCTGTGAGAGGCACGGGCATAGCTATCAATGACATCTTGAAAGCCACAGCTACTAGGGTTCTGTCCCAGCATCTGTCTTTCCCTGGGGGTTGACTCAGGAGGTCACGGACTCCCTTCAGCCAAGAAGCCACCAGCTCCCCACACACCGAAATGCCAACAATTAGACATGCCACCTTTGCCCCTCAGCAGTTACACAACCAGACAGAAGCACGACAGGCTGGCAGGGGGTTAAGTGGTTCCATGTGGGCTCTTTATCAGACAACCTGGGTTTGAAACTCATTTTCTCCACTTACCAGTAACATGACCTGGGACCACAGGAGTTATTTAACCTCCTAGCTGCTGCTGTTGCTGTTTAGTCGCTCAGTTGTGTCTGACTCTCTTGCAACCCCACAGACTGTCACCCTCCAGGCTCCTCTGTCCATGGAATTCTCCAGGCAAGAATACTGGAGTGGGTTGCCATTTCCTCTTCCAGGGGATCTTCCTGACCCAAAGACTGAGCTTGCATCTCCTGCACTGGCAGGAGAATTCTTTACTGCTGGGTCACCACAGAAAGTCCCTCCCATGTTCCTACCTGCCACATGTGGGAAATAATAATTGCCTCTTGGGGGCAAAAATTCCAGGCTAGGGCAGGAACACACATGTGTAAAATACGTAAAGTAAATGTTGGCATGAAAAAAGAAAGCACAGTAAAGGGGATGGGATCATGGAGCAAAAATTTCCTTTGGAAAATGAAGTTGCCACTCGCAGAAGGTAACCACAGAACAAAGAGAAAGGGCACTCCACTTCAAGGGCCAGCTGGGGGCAGTGGCCGGGAGACATCTGTCCCCCCTTCCCTGCCCACCAGGGTTCACAGACATCAACCCCAAGGCGTGGACAGCACGTGGCCACAGGCTGGCCGGAGACGCGGCACCTTAGCTGTGCTCATAGCCTGTCCCCACATCCCCCTGCAGCTAGCTCCCCAGCTGCCCAGCCACTGCAGAGCAGGACAAAAGGTCCCAGCGAGTGAACTCCTCCTGCCGGGTGGCCCGCCCCGCTGGGTGAACTGGGCACTTGCTGAGCGGCCTGTGGGCTGAGCTGTACTCTTTTGTACTTTTCTAAAAGAACAGGAGAGGCATGGGGCCCTGCCAAGCCCTTGACACTCTGCCTGGTGATCGGGGATCACGGGAACGGCATGATCCACTTTGCACAATGTCCAAGTGCATGGCCGGGTCTGTGGCCCGCCTACCCACGGCAGATTCCCATCTTCTCAGCCACCCGTGGGTCGGGAACGTCACTTCACCACCAGAGTCATCCTACTGGCGGCTCGGGGCGAGCTCGGCCATGCAGGCACCCAGCTGCTCTGGACAATCGTACTGGCAGGGACCAAGCCCAGGCACTGGGCCACGCGAGAGGAGCTCTGGTCCTGAGCTCAGCAAAGAATAAGCCATTCTTTGATGTGACTGGTTCCCCACACTGAGACGGGAAAAGGGGATGCCAGCCCTCCCAGGAGGCTGGCCATGCTGACACCGAGCCAAGTATCACCTCCCCACCCTCTTTAACCAGGAGTCTCTGGCACCCACCCAACCTACAGGGGCTTCCAGAACCACAGGTCATGATGGGAAGGGGTCAGATCCATTAAAGAAAAAAAAAAAATCTAACCACGACAGTATCCCAAAGTTCTTCACCAGGTCAAGGGCCACACACACAAAACGAGGACAAGGACATTCCCGGCCCACGGGACACTTTGCATTTGGACATTGTGCAAAGTGTTAAGGGTCGAAACAGAGGTGGGTATATTAAAACAGATTTTGAAGAATCCCTCTTATGCACATTTTCCAAAAGACACTGTCTGTTGAACGTCACCCCCCACTATCAAATTCTAGTGTTTCTGGTAACCATGTGGCTGTATTACAATTGTGTCACTGTATGTGTCTCACCAAGAAAAGAAATTACTAACTAGGGCTAGGAATTACTCTGTATTAAAAAGAGGATGCAAGAGTTCAGTGCACCTTCACCTAAATCAAGGATTAGTTCTGTGACCCCAGGCAAGTTCCTGGCACACCTGCTAAGTATTTCAGGATTGAGGTTAGCCTTAATAAGGGCCTAACTTCAAGAGATGTGTCGAAACTGCCAGAGCTCAGAATATTAAAAAACCTGGAATAGAGTGCAGAGTACAAAAGGCCAAAACCCGAACCCCCTAAAGAGAGCCAGGCTCCTGTGGACGATCCATTTGTCCAGGAGTCAGCTCTGCCCAGGAGAAGTGCCAGGTGAGTCACCTGCATGAGGCTGAACAAGCATTCTTTTTTCACTATGATCTAGAATCACACAGAATTTGCTGGAGGCTTGAAATAAGATATTACAACAAGTTTCCCAGCAAACCAGTCCCGCCTCTCCCTTCCCACTTTGCCCTGGAGAGGGACAACAAACTGCAAGCAAACAGGCGGAGGGGGTGGCCACAAGGGAAGGTGGCTGGGTTAAAGAGAGCTGCTTCCATCACAATTCTCGAGATGAAGTTATGAGTTTCAGTTAGAATGCAAATGCTAATCATCTTGGCCATTTATACCTGGAGCAGGAGAAAGCGAGAAAGCTGCTGAGCACATGAAAAGTACCAGGATCTTAAGGCAAATCTGCTTTAAAAGTTACCAAGATTTTAAAAAATTACTATAGTAAAGGAGGTTAATTTTCATAAACCCACAACTAGGCTTCTTGCTGACGCTAAAGCTTAGCAGTGAAGGTTTATTTTCAGGGTCAAGGCTTGGTTTCTCTTGCTGCCAAGGCAGAGGTAGCAGGGAGCAGCCAGTCTGCTTTGAAAGCCTCCTTTCCTGTAAAAATCAGTCAAGTCACACTGCTCCCACTTTAAAAATGTGTTTATGGCAAACACTTAACTACTGTTAACTTCCTCATCATGCCCTGTTCTATTTGTTTACTCATTTAGAATCTCACGGTCGGGCTAAAAAGGAGTCAGCTAAGCCAAGCTTCCAGTTCCCAGGGGTCAGGAGAAGTCTCCCTCCACTTTCTGTTCTCTGACCCATTCACCCCGTTAACAGTCCACTCCTGTCAAGCAGGCAGGGGAATGCTGTTCAGGTCGCTGCCAACACCACAGAACATTAAATGGTGCTTTAATTTGGTAGTTACAACACTGTTTCTTGAATTTCCCAAGGTTTTTCTCAGCTGGAGAAAATCAGCTTAGGAGTGAGAGGAGGAAGCTAACCACACCTGCTCAGAAATGTTCAAATATAAAACTATCCTAAAGACCCTCCAGGGGAAAAACATCCAAGTACTTCCAGATAGGCAAGCAAGTTGATGACAGAATCCCTTCAGAAAGCCAGCATTTAAATAGATGTTAACTCCAGATTACATCTTGGCTTGGAAGAAATTGTCTGCCACATCAACAGTGGCCTCCTCACTCTGACAACTCTGGAATCTATGCCTTTTCTCCTTCCCCCACAGGCTTCTCATACTTTCTTACCCTTGCTCTAAGGGCATGCCCAACTCCTGTTAATGCTCTGATGGAGTCGTTTTCTCTGACTGTACACGTGAGAAAGGACACGGCTCTGTCTGGGCTTCACACAAGTCACTGCAAAGCTGGGGCACCGCCAATTCCGGCTGCAGGTCAGCACCGTGGTTGAAGGCTGAGGCCCTTGTTCTGGTATGATGGACAATCGAGGGGAAACTGCCACACTCAAGTATTCCCTTATACAAAAATCGGACAGGTTAGGGACTTCCCCGGTGGTCCAGTGGTTAAGAATCTGCCTTCCAATGC